GTTTAAAGTCATTTATCCAAAAGACAGACCAACCAGAGAGGTACGTTTGATGTCAAAGTGGGGATCATTTCGAATTAGCTTTGTCATCAGCTGGTTTGCTAAAGAAAGAATGTAAATAAATTAGCCAGTGGTTAGCACTCGTGCATCACAGCAAGAAGGTCCTGGATTTGTCTCCACTGACAGACGGGGCTTCTCTGTGTGGAGTTTGCATGTTCTCTCTGTGTCTGTGTAGGTTTCCTCCAGGTACTCCGGTTTCTCCTACCACTAAAGTTGTTTGTCCGTCTCCATTCACATTTCCATGACCGCCGTGTAAGTGCTGAGATGGATGTTTTGATTAATGTTTTTTTTATTATTATTATTTGGCATTTGAGGATAAAAAACAAAAACAAAATAAAAGCACTTAATTCTACATAGTTATGCAAATAAAATAAAGCAATTGCAGTTCCAAAATATGAGTGGGAAGAATGGATGTGGAACGTATTTCTTCAGCGTATCAACATCGGGTTTGCTCCAGAGGTATCACTTTTTACCATTTTATTTTTTCCCTAACATGTAAAGTCCCACATCAAAAAGAGACTAACATTATTTTAATTTGGGGGTACATGTGGTCTTAAAAGATTATTTTTACAATTAAAGCTATAATCTCAAAAAAACGTCTTGACCTTCATCTTTTACCGTTTTTAGAGCAATCTGTCATAGAATGTGATAACATGCAATAATTACACTAAGACATAGCCCTGGATCGAACCCGGGTTCCTGCATCGTAAGCGCACAGTTTAGACCATAGGAGTCTAGTGGTTCCCAAATGTGGGGGTCCTGACCCCCCGGGGGTCGCGGGAACCCTGGGGGGTCGCAAGATGATTTCCACACAAAAGGACTATAAATATTTTTAATAACGTTAGTAATTTGTCCCCCCCCAAAGCTTAATGCAGCGTCAATCATAAATCCTCACGTTAACACAGCCACAATGCCGCAGTCGACAAAGGTGTCCTGCCTGTTGGGTTGTAAAACTAAAGGTGTTTGGAGGTACAAAATAAATAATACTGCTTTAAAATGAAAACGTGGTTAATATCTACAACAGAAAAACCGGACGGGGGAGGAAAAAGTCTCTTGTATCAGGGGCTGATGGTGCGAAGAGAGGGAGAGAGGGCAGAGGACGGGAGGAGGGAGAGGAGGGAGAGAGGGCCAGAGAGGGAGGGCAGGGAGGAGCCGTGGGCAGAGGAGGGAGGGAGGGAGGGAGGGCAGAGGAGGGAGAGAGGGCCAGAGGAGGGAGGGAGGACAGAGGAAGGAGGGAGGGAGAGCGGGAGAGGGCTGCGGAGGGGAGGGCAGCGGAGGGAGGGAGGGCCAGAGAGGGTGGAGGGCAGCGGAGGGACTGAGAGGCAGCGGAGGGAGAGAGGCAGAGGAGGGCGAGAGGAGGACAGAGGAGGGGAGAGGGCAGAGGCGGGAGAGGAGGGCAGCCGGTTGTAGAACAGGCGTTAAAGAGGCCCTGGCTTTTCGGAGTCAAGGTAAAGAGGTCCGCACCATTAAAAGCCGGGTGGTCCGGTTTTGCCTTAATGACAGTAACTTTGGAAGAGACGCCGCGGGGATTGAACGATAAAGTACACAGCAGAATGCGGCCACCCGCTTTTAATGTGCGGAACCTCTTTACCGCTGACTCCGGAAAAGCCGGGCTCTGTAAAGCGCTGTTCTACGCTGCCTCTCTCCCTCCTCTGCCCTCTCTCCCTCCTCTCGTCCTCCCTCTCCCTCCTCTGCCCTCTCTCCCTTCCGCTGCCCTCTCTCCCATCCGCTGCCTCTTCCCTCCTCTGCCCTCCTTTCCCTCCGTCCGCATGACCCTCTGCCCGCTGCCCCCTCTCTACCTCCCTCCGTACTCTGTCTCCCTCCCTTCTGCCCTCTCTCCCTCCTCTGCCCCTCCCTTCCCTCCATCCCCTCCTCTGCCCCTCTCGCCTCCTTGCCTCTCCCTCCTCTGCCCTCTCTCCCTCCCTCTGCCCTCTCTCCCTCCCTCTGCCCTCTCTCCCTCTCTTCGCACCATCAGCCCTCTGATACAAGTGACTTTTCTCCCTCGGGTTTTCTGTTGTAGATATTAAAAACCACGTTTATTTAAAGCAGGCTATTATTTATTTGTAGACCTCCCAAAACCTTTAGTTTTAGCAAACACAGCAGGGGACACGCTTTGTCGCTTTTGCGCTGTGAGCTCGGTGTTACTGTGATGATTTTGCTTGACGCTGCAATGATGGGGACAAAATTACTAAAGTTATTAAAATATAATTATAGTCTTTTTTGTGTGGAAGGAAATCATTTGCGAACCCCCCAGGGGTTCCCGCGACCCCCCGGGGGGGTCAGGACCCCACTTTGGGAACCTCTAGACTCTAGTGGTTCTAAACTGTTTTGCGCTTTACGTTGCAGGGAACCCGGGTATCGATCCAGGGCTATGTCTTTTTGTATTGATTTAATGCATTGTTATCACATTCTACTGACAGATTGCTCTAAAAACGGTAAAAGATGCAAGGTCAAGAGTTTTTTGCAGATTATATGCTTAATTGTAAAAAATAAATCATTTAAGACCAACATGTACCCCAATTAAAATATTGTTAGGTCTCTCTTTGTGACTGTGGGACTTTTACATGTTAGGGAATACAATAAAATGTAAGGTGTGATATCCTCTTGAGCAAACCCTGATGTTGATTACGGTGAAGAAATACGTTCAACATCCATTTCTTCCCACTCCTATTTTGACATCAATTGCTTATTTCTTTTTGCAATAAACTAATGTTATATTACATTAAGCTTTTATTTTGTTTTTGTTTTTATCTCAAATGTCCAATAATAATATAAAAAAAAATTAATCAAAACATTCATTCGCATTAGCACGGCTGTCATGGCATGTTGAATGGAGCGGACAACCAACTGTAAATAATTCCCTGAGTTTGCTGCTGGATTTGGTGTGAATCTGGCAAACTGAGTCAGGGAGAGTGAGAGAGGACTACAAAATATTTGACCTGTGACTGCGAGTACCCACCTTTGGCCAGATTTTTACATATTGCTCCTTTAATGGGTCGCGCAAGGAAGCTCCCTGTGATTGTCCGTGTGTGTTGTGTATTGAGAAGAGAGCACGGAGCGGCTGTGCAGCAGGAGCTATGGACGAGGGCGACTATGGAGCAGAGAGCTTGTGCTTCGAAGGAAAAATTGCAGTTTGGCTCAGAGACTGATATACAGGAGACTGTGGACTATCGTAAAATATATACTACTTATATCTAACATATATATAACTTAATCTAAACGATAGTATACACTCGTATTGTATTACCACTATTATTGTTTTGCTGTTTGTGCTCTGAAAAGCTGTTTAATAATAACTATGTTTCGACAAGAACTGTGTTCTTTATTTACCCCCCCGCATCCAGTGAAATGACTTATAAAATAATGAATCCATAAAACTATTGTCCAGGATTTAGCAGACAGAGTAATACTAACACTATCCACATCAAACCTACAGTAGAATAACATTAGGCTTAAGGCCTGACACACTTAAACATTTCCGTCTTCCCAATCACTGTAAACTTCAGGACTTAAAAATGGATTCAAAAGGCTCTGACTTGTACATTTCGCTTTGTAAAACATAAATAACATTTTATGTTTTGGATATTCAAAGTTTCTAATTTATTAAACCGAAAATCATGTAGAGTGATAAAAACGTGATCCCACTCCTCAGAGCGAGACAAAGAGCTGAGCGAGGCGCCATGCGCAGGACTGATGGAGGCTGCTTCGGTTTCTTTAATGGCGGGCTTAAGATCATATTCTGCCGTATACTGCCACCTACTGAATGGAAGTGTTATATCCATGCCTTTGGACCAATGTTACAGGTCCTCTTTATCATTTTTGTTGAAGGTAGAAAATTAAAATAATGCCACTCTCTTGGATTAAACCCTCTCCAAAATCAGGCCCGTCCTAAGCGGCTGTCGACTGTGCCGTCGCCACCGGGCCCGCACCACCCCCCCCCAAAAAAAAAAAAAAAATAACAGGGGGTCCTCGCAATCTTCCTTCCTTTTATTTTATTTTATAAATACACTAGTTCACGGGTCCCAAAGGGCAGACTGCACTCCAAATTTTGGAACCCTAAACCCCTTTCTCTGGACACTCTTTGATTTCGTTGATCAAAAGAAACTTTTTTTACAAGTAAAGTCAAATATTTTCACAAAGCGATTTGTAACTGGCACGGCGCGCGGGCAGTATGTATGAACGGGTTCCTCCGAAAAAACTGTTCAGATAATTTAGCAGGTGGTCTGAGTGAGATACAAAGAAAGTAACGGGAATGATCGCAGTGTAGGAGAGTGGCATTATCGCGGAGGTGGGAGCAGTGGAGGACAGTGTGAGCAGAGGAAGCAGACCCCTTTGTGTGTGAAGCAGAGGAGGAGGAGGAGGAGGAGGAGGAGGGAGCAGTGATACAGGTTGTGAGCAGAGGCAGCAGACCCCTTTGTGTGAGCAGAGGAGGGGGAGGAGAGGAGGAGGCAGAGGAGCAGTGATACAGGTGTGAGCAGTGGAGCAGACCCTTTGTGTGTGCAGAGGAGGTGGAGGAGGATCAGCGGTGTGACAGGTGTCGTGAGCGCTGCTATTGCCAATGGTTTTGTCCGAATATCACATCAAAAAAACAATATTTTTAAAAGCTTAGCAAACACACTGTTGTCTAGCTTTAGCTAGCTGGAGTGTTTTTGTTGTGGTCAGAGTGTGTGGAGGAGGAGGTGAAGAGTATTTTGTTGTTGTAGTGTGGAGGAGAGGAGTGTTTTGTTGTCAGAGTGTGTGGAGGCATGGCAAAAACGTTTATTTGATGAGAAAATAATAATTATTGACTCCGCCTCAATAGCTTTTGGCGCATTTTGCCCCAAATTAACTATTAGAGAAAAATAGACTCCTTTTGGTTCACTCTTTTGAGTTGCTCTACTATTTTGCACAGGACCGGAAGAGACATGTCAGCTAAATAGACCGCGACAATATTGCAGTTAGAG